CACACACACACACACACACACACACACACACACACACACACACACACACACACACACACACACACACACACCACACACACACACACACACACACACACACACACACACACACACACACACACACACACACACACACACACACACACACACACACACCACACACACACACACACACACACACACACACACACACACACACACACACACACACACACACATCACACAAAGAGCACACAAAACATTTTTCTTTAACAGCTTTTTCCACTATTCTCATCGTCTAACATCCGTCGCCCTGTATCCTCTCCCTTAACACCTCTCTTCTCCGTCTCCTCTCTTCCCTATCCATTAAAACTTTGTCAACGTGTCTTTTCTGCCAACATCTCAACATGCTTTCTCTTCACAAACCAACAAGCTGGACGCTTGCCCGCGGACTGAAAGTCGTGGGTTCAAATCAACATTGTGCCTGATAGTTTTCAAACATGGTCTGGTTCCCAGGTGGAGCCAGTCTTAAACAGGTAGCAGGTAAAGTCCTAGACAGTAAAATATTGACCACATCACCCATCGAGGTCTGTGTAAATACGAGTCTTGTCTAATATGCCCATTGCACCATTAATGTGTAAAAGGACCTTCACTTACTTCACGCACCAACACTCTCTATCGTTTTTGTCTCTCTGCGTCCTTTCTCTGCGTTACCTAACATCCAATCTATTTAAACTCTATATACGATAGTTATGTTCCTAAACTAGACTGGAGAAAATGCATATTATATCACAATACATGAATTATCGTAGAACACGTGCCCACATTTTAGACAACTTCCGGCTATTTCCAGGATTACCTGGCTTTGATTCGCCGTCATGCCCATATACACAGAGCCGGCGACAAGTGTATCGGCCCTGTTGATTTACCTGCTTCATGTAATCTGTCTTGGTTTATTGACGGACAAACACAATGGCGCTTGATGTCCGCCAAATGTTTGCTACCGTCACCAGGAAGTGGTCCACAAGGACAACATCAGTTTGCCATTAACCAAATCATCGATATGGAAATGGTATAGCCATCAGGTGTCATTGTCGCTTAGGCAGCTTTGCGAATAAAGTTGACTGGTTATATATTTACACACACACACACACACACACACACACGTGTGTGTGTATGTGTGTGTGTGTGTGTGTATATATTTATATTTTAACACAAAACAGAAGGGGGGGGGGGAGACAAAGTGAAAGCATAAACACTATCAGCCTTCCAATACAGTGATCACATTTAGAAAGAGAAGCTATAAGAGACTCAAACACCAACCTAGATTTGATTATTGTAAACTCGAGCACGATCTTTTAAAGACAAAAAAAAAAAAAAAAAGCTAACATACTTAACCACTATGCATCCGGCACAGACTCAAATATCAAACAACTGAACACAGACATTAAAACACTTGTATCAGTCCACATTAGCTTCTCAGTCATTAGTTTAGTACTGATTACAACACGCAACAATGCAGCAAATGTTATTATTATTTAACTCGTTGAGTCCCAGAGGGTTTAGCATCACGGGCCCAAGAGGTAGTCAAAAGAGACGTAAAATCGGCGCATCATGCGTACATTGGGCTTCTAGGCAGTTACCTATGTACGTATGATGCGTTCCTTGGGACTCAAAGAGTTAATGCACAATAAATATATAACAAACTGCTCCCATTGACAGGCCACATGCAAATGTTATACCATTGTGAAAGAACAAAGGAAGCATGTTTTAGTCATGTTTGCGGAATGTATGCCAATACAATAGAAAGAACTATAGCTGGCAGAAGAACAGACGGGATTTGGCAGAAACAGAAGCTACACAGACGCAATCTTCACATTCGAACAATTATTAGAGAAGAACATTGAATACGATAACAACTTATCTGCTGTATAAATGTATGTCTTTTATACCAGGGTCTGTCCTTTATGTTGTTTTGTATTCAATGGCAATTGCGACTTCAGCTACAAGCAGATGGTCCATGAGGGGATACAGAACCAGGCTATGCGCATTATGCTTGGGTGTACAAAGGATACAGCATTGACTGCTACATTCATCAGACAATCAGGTGATGTTATCAGAAAACTATTTCAGAAAACGGTGGTATAACGACATTTTTCTCTGACTGTTCTGGTGTTAAAAGAAAACTATTGAAGAGGTATGACTGTCATAACTCCATGTTGTTTCTTTGATTCCACAACCCTCCCCCAACCATTCTCCCACAGTCAGACTTTTAAAGAAAACCAGTTAAGGAGTTACAGTCATGTCTCTACACTATTCCACCAAATTACAAATGCCAAGCAAAGAATGAACATTATACTCTTTTTCTACCCTTTTCTCCTATAAGCATTACCCCTTAGCCAATTCCCGCCAAATCGTTCTTTCCACTGCCATCCGATTTCGTTCCTTATAATTTCACTACATTCTCCTGTTAATTTCTGTGTGTATATTTCTGTTATGCCTTATTTCTTTGACCTCGTATGTTTAAGTATAATGGCACTGAGTTGAGATGATTCAAGAACTGACTTCACAGCACTCGAAGCATTATCATGAGCGCTCCGTCCCCGTATTCAGCAGTCAGTGCAGATTCCAATATCGACGGTGCCAGTAGCAGTCTGATTATATGTTTGTCTTGCCATTCCTCTGAGTGTCGAGTGTAGACCAGATCCCCTTGTCACTCCTCATTGCATCACTTTCACCAGCCTGTGATGACGATCAATTTGCTGTTCCCAACTGTAATTGTAACTTTGACATAACGTGACATTGGGTTGTATTGCTATGAGGTTTTTTTAAGTGGTTCTACCCAGCACTGTTGAACATTCTAATTCATCAGTAGAGTTACAAGTAATGTGTTTGTTGTTGTACCTGGTATGATTCAGCCGTCGTCAGTCACGACTCTCCAGTCCTCTATCATCTGCTATGTTGATAAGTTTGGCTTAATTCTACTATTGTTTGTTGTTCGTTTCATTGTTTCAGCCATTACGTTGTGTATGTGGGTGTGTGTATGTGTGTGTATGTGTGTATGTGTGGGTGTTATAATAAGAAGTAAATACAATTATATTCTGTGGGAGAAGTTCTCCAACAAGCTGCGTAAACATACGGAACGCTCCACCAGGTGTAGGAAATATGGAGTGCACGTTTGCCTATATATATATATATATATATATATATATATATATATATATATATATATATATATATATATATATATATATACACACACACACACACACATTTATCATATCTTAAAATGTCTTTCCACATTTCCAGAGAGCTGGCACAATCAAGAATCCCATGAAAGCCACTTAAGCTCTTGCCAATTCATAACACATCAATGCACACATTATTATGGAAGCGAGGTGAAACGTTGCAGCATCAATAGGGGGAGGTAAAATAAGAAAAAAGATGTTTTAACAGAAGTAGAACAAACTAAAGCATAAAAGTTTATCAAAGAACGAGTTCCAGCGATTCTTCATCCTATGACGAATGCCTTAGCATAAAAAATCGTTTTAATTTATTTTTAGAACACTTCTAAGAATCTATTGATGGACAAACATTTCCAAGAAAATGAACATTGATAAACATTTATTAAGTTTACTTCCTGAACAAATAATGTAAGAATAGTGCTAAAGATAAATACTTGACAAAGCATGGGTACTCAGAGAAACTAGACAGTCCATGGGCACTCAGAAACACTGGATTGTCCATACGCAGTCAGAGGAACTTGATAGTTCATTGGAACTCAGAGACACTAAACAGTCCATGGGTACTCACGAAAGACACTGGATAGTGTAAGGGCACTCAAATACACTGTATAGTCATTAGGCACTCAGAGACACTGGATAGTCCATGGGCACTCAGATACACTGGATAGTCAATAGGCACTCAGAGACACTGAATAGTCCATGGGCACTCACTGGATAGTCCATGGGCACTCAGATACACTGGATAGTCAATAGGCACTTAGAGACACGGGATAGTCCATGAGCACTCAAAGACACTGAATAGTCCATGGGCACTAACGAGAGACACTAGATAGTCCAAGGGCACTCAGAGACACTGGATAGTTCATGGGCACTCACTGGATAGTCCATGGGCACTCAGATACACTGGATAGTGAATAGGCACTCAGAGACATAGGATAGTCCATGAGCTCTCAGAGACACTGAATGGTCCATGGGCACTCAGAGACACAGGATAGTCCATGGGCACTTAGAGACACTGTGTAGTCCATGAGCACTCAGAGACACTGGATAGTACATGGGCACTTAGAGACACTGGGTAGTCCGTCGGCACTCAGAGACACTCGATAGTCCGTCGGCAATCAGAGACACTGGATAGTCCGTCGGCACTCAGAGACACTGGATAGTCCATGTGCACTCAGAGACACTGGGTAGTCCGTGGATACTCAGAGACACTGGGTAGTCCATTGACACTCAGAGACACTGGGTAATCCATGGGCACGCATAGACACTGGATAAACCATTTGCACCCAGAGACAGTGGATAGTCCATGGGCACTCAGAAACACTTGTACACATTTGTTATAACTTGACAATATATAAACACCTGGTAGAGCTTGAATACGCACAAACACTTTATAGAACATGGAAACAGATAACAAAATTCATAGACAATTGATACATAAAAATCACTTCATATAAATGGACACACAAAGATAAACACTTGAGAGAATGTGAACACATAAAAATACAACACAACGACTGTACCGGAACACAGATAACAACACACAAGGGCAGTGCCAGAAGACACAATGACAATACCAAAACACACTATGGCAGTACCAGAAGACACAGTGACAGTACCAGAACACAGAATGGCAGTGCCAGCTGACACAATGACAGTGCCAGAACACACAATGATAGTGCCAGAACACACAATGATAGTACTAGAACAAACACTGACAGTACCAGAAGAAAGATAATTACTCGGAAAGAAACAACCATGGAGCAAAATTCTTACCATGAATAACTGCATCCACATAATCCAGATTGTGCAGTGATAGTGCCACGACAGAAGAATTCAGCTGCAACTCTCCATCAGCGTTGACGCTAAGACAGAAGATTTTGGTCTCCCTCTCACGAACTCTGCTGTCACATATACTAGGCTCTCCAAATCCTTCCACTGTAATAGTTTTATATTGTCGCAATAAACCGGGCGTTAATCTTGCTATCGTGTTGACCACGTTGTCGCCTTTGAAGATTCGTTTAATTTCCACTTCACCTTTAAACACTCTCTTGTCATCTGTGGAGTGTATCTGGTCATTAATCAGTTTCTGGACTCTTCCTGAAACAACGACATTCGCCATTTTCGCGGCAGTCTCTAAGGCGACATCTTTGCATTTCGAATATCTAGCGTCGGCACTGACTGAACAGCTGACTAGACTTACACTGCAAGAGAACGCTGTCACACAGAAGATGCCGGCACATAAGAAAGTACGCGTAGATTTCCTATATCTCTTAGTTTGAGATAACGTCCCTAGTTCAGGTCTGATACCTGTAACACTTAGTCTACACATGGTTTTGTCTGTCATGTTCAATTATTTGTCCCTAAAATTTAGTGCACACATCTAACACACAAGCCGGCTCCACTAGATTGTGTTTAGATAGTAAACAACATGTGGATACAAACACAATGACATCAAATTACTAATAAACTGATTTCATGGATCCGATATGACCAGGTGATAACAGTTTGACTGAACGACGACTGGCAGAGAATGCAGTTGTTATATGCACAAAACCTACTCTGCCTCTACTGGGAATAGCGCAACCACAATTGGCCTATTTCCCGACGATAGTACAGAGCGAGGTTGGGGGGGGGGGGGGGTGGGGAGTCCTTCGGCTGACAGAGAGGGGTCCCGCTTGGCGCTCAGACACCAGGTTTGGCGACGCGACCAAATAACAGGTACACGGCAGCCCAACCACAGGCAGATAGCGATCCTGTTTGTGAGTGTGCCTGAGATTGCTAAAAAATAAGGTGCAGCGTTGTCGATATAGGTAGCCTGCTGGCTAACCGTTTGATACCAACTTCGCGCCTATTTTATTCATTTTGTGTTATGACATAATGGCGTGTGCTCTCTCTTCTGTTATTTAGACACACATACACACACACAAACACACACACACGCGTATATACATAAAGGTAAAAGGTAAACCATAAGTGCGCTGCAACCACTACTGACAGCTGATAAGAAAACTGTCCGCCTGTGTCTCCGTCCGCACGCAACTCCGTAGCTACAGCGACGTTCCTCCATTTACACCAGAGTGTTAACTCTGGTACCCAGTACCCATTTCCTTGAAGCTGGGTGAACCCCAGGGAACCGCCCGGTTTCGAACACCGGTCGTGGGCTGCAGCGAGTCGCATCTGGATTTCTTCTTCTTCTTCGCGTTCACCAGCTGTACACTCTGGCGGAAAGTTCTGGTTACTCGTCCACTACTGAACTGCAGACCTGCTCCAGAACCTGAGTGTTGTGTGTGCATCAGTTTGACAGATCTCATTCTCTTGAATACAGAGTGTTGGTTCCTTGCCTCTCCGGCAGATGCACTCCGACTTCAAAGGAAGCTCCCAAATTAGTCGACTTAGGGAAGACAAAGGGTCTATTCTTGTTTTCCCCCACAATGGTGCCCAGGAACCCACACGGGGAGCAGCTGGATTTGAAAGCGAGCCTTCTATCGACTGCGCTAACGCGGCCCTTTATATATATATATATATATATATATATATATATATATATATATATATATATATACACATGTATACAAACACACACACACACACACACACACACACACACAGAGGGACAAAGTATCAGAAAAAGCTAGATTTAAAGCAGTCCACTCATAAAATATGAAACTTTTTTTTTTAATCTAAATCCGCACACAAAAACTCGCTTTTATTTGCAGACAATCAGTGCCTGTTCCACAACGAGTGAAAAGGACTGCAAAAACCTTTTAGCAGGCTAAGTTCAGTATGCAAAAGATATAACAGGAAAGTCAATACGGCCACAATTGAAATAATGTAGGTCAGTAGAATTCCTCGTACGCTACATATAAGGTTGAATGGTACTTGTCTGAAGCAAGTCAAATCATTTCAAAATCTAGAAAGTATATTCTCGGAGCACGCTATATTGAACACACCCTGAGAAGACAGCAGCAGCGAATCACCAAACATACATTATAATGGGAAATAAAGGGATTAGGGAGGCGAGGACGCTCAAAAGAAACCCTGAGACGAACGTTGATGAGAGAGGCCAAAGCTGTTGGACTGTCTTCCATCCATGAAATTGAACTGCTCGCACAGGAAAGAACGCAATGGAGGAAAGACAGGATATGACAAATATTGACATAACAGGATAATGAATATTCTTGGAGGACGGAAGCATAGATCATAAAATAGAAACAAGATGCCAACGGGCCAGTCCACATATATACCAAATGACACCGTCATTAGAACGTCCAAACATAAGTATAAGCACCAGAACGAAAAATTCTAAACAGCATATTTATATCAACAATGTTCTGCCAATGTCAGACTTGGACATTATCACAGGCTAACTGATGTAAAATTAACACCTGTGAAATTAAGTTGCCGAGAACAAGCCGATAATGTAACAACAATTCGAGACATGTTTAGAAATGATATTATCAGAGACCGTGGGAATAACACAAAGCAGCAAATTTATTGAGAAACAGTAGATCAATCGGTCTAGTTATCTAGTTAGAATTCAGCATGAACAATTTCTACTGTAGGCTCTATAGATGAAAAGAGTTGATGTGAAAACAAGAGGATGCTGTAGGAGAATATGGACTGATGACATTGAAGAGCATCTACAACGACACGAAATGACAATAACTATCGCCAACTGTTTCTCTCGACTGCAGAAGTTTGCAAATGATGACGATGACGAGTGATATCTTGGACGTGCGAGATCCTGGAAGATAAGATTGGTTTGTACTGGTTGTTGTGATTTGATCTGGCCTCACTCACTATGCCCAGCACACAGCAGGCGCTACTCGGTCCTGGTATCGAGTTTAGTAGGAAAGAGCTGTAGGGAAGCGACGTGAGCTCGGATCCAGGTATTATTCATGGGAACGGAAAAGGAGGAATGAGAGGTGATTTCACGGAATTAGTTTCGGAAAGGGGTGACCACGACTTTTGAAGCAAACTGCTGTGTCTAACTGGAAAAATGATCTTCGCGCTTTGTACGAGGCTACTCCATGTAGCTAATTGTTCTGGGAAGTGAGGCCGAGGCATTAGCGACAAAATTTGGTACAATAAAGTCGATCCATTTGACTGTAATTGTTAATCCTTTTTTTTTCCTCTTAAATTTCTTTAATTCTTTGGCTCCTCGAGCTTCTTTTCGTCTTTTCTTTCACTTTTATGTGAATCTTTCATTATTGTTTAAGTCTTTTACACTCTAATATGTTATTGGTTCAACTCCCCCCCCCCCCCATTATTTTCAAGTTTCTATTTTGTTTCTTGTTCTTCATTCATTCATTGATTATTTCTGATCCTTCTTTCTTTTTTGCTGATCTTTCTTTCTAAATTGAAAGGTAAAGGTAAAATGTTGAGTTCCTAGGTTTTTATGTGCTGTCTATTGGATGTGATTCTCATATGTGCAGAGCTGGTATGCTGCCACTGCACTATTTGCCCACATTGTTGATGAAGTCACTGAACTGATGTGTGCTACAGTAGTGCAGTGTAAAACTACTCTACTGTAATGCTGGATATTTTTGCACGATCTGTGCAAATCACTAATCGAGCAGTGACTTAACTAACTCGTTGGTAAGGTCACGGGATAATAATGAGTCATTCTGTGAAATCTCAGGCCTCGAAACACTCTTTAATTGCAAAGCTGAAACTTAAAGGAATTGCACATTAGCTTGAAATGCCTGAAGCTGGAAACGAGTTGACAATAGAGACTGGTGTCTCGGTGCTAGGGGTAATGCTGACCAAGGTAACTACTCTGTTCCCACGAAGATCATCCTGGGCAACCAATTGTCTAGCTACGGAAGGAAGGGTTTGGTCCCTGCCGTGTAGGCGCCTGCCGAGGACAGGCGATGTAACGCTCTTCAGTTTATGTGTTTTGTGTTCAGGATGAAAGCTAAATCTTGGACTTTCCGTTTCTTAGCCAATAGGCATGAATGAATATACTGAATGCCTACGCAAAGGAATTCAGGTGATCACCTGGCATCGCACCATTTGCGAGTGCAGATATTTCGACTGTCACTGGGTCTCGTTTTTGGAGCTATGAACTTCGCTCTTTGTGCTATATATGCTCTTGTCGGAGAGAGAATAAGACAGTATTTTTTAAAGCGGTGGGCGGAAGCTCAGTGGTGAGCCGCAGAAAAGTCCAGCTGGGCCGCCCAAAATGTCTGCGCAATCATGGTAGGGTAAGTAGCTTTCCAATTCCAGTTAGGGATAAGAATCAAAAGGTGTGAAATCTGCTGAAAATTGTATATATTTTTTATATCGGATTTATAAAACAAACTGCTATCTAAATTTGCTTTTATTTCTATGGTTAGCTGTCGGCTGAGCCGCGAAACATTTTCTCATTTTTTGACGGGCCGTGAGTGTGAAAAGGTTGATGAACACTGGACTAAACCATATGGTATAACACCAGAGACTATCAAGCTGATCCTCTCGCATCCAAACATTGAAGGCAAAAAGTATGGCACATTTTTTGAGTGCTATCAAGGTGAATTATTTCAACCGACGATGTTCGACAGTTACCGTTATCAAAATTTACTGGTCTGCAGCTGAGGTTAATTCTCTCTCCCTTAACCCCTCCCCCCCCCCCCCTTTTTTTTTTTTTTTTCCCCCGCCTTTTTTTTCCAGGGAATAAATTATCTGAGTCTCGATCTCCTGTTTTTGGGTGCACAGTTCTTCTTCTTCTTCTTCAGCATTCCGAGCCTTTAAGGTTCATTGCTGCAGATATCACTCGCCTCCATTCATCTCTCTGGTTGGCCTTCTCCTCCCAGGTGGTAACACCAAGTGTTTGCAGGTCTGTCTGGATATTATCTTTCCATCGTCTTCTTGTTCTCCCTTGTGGTCTACCACCATTCATCTCTCTGGTATATACAGTTTTTACTTCTCTGTCATCTGACATTATTTCAGTTGCCCCTGGGTGCATATTTGCCTATTTGAAATATGCACAACAGAACAGAGAATACCGAGTTGTGCCGATTTCTGTCATGCCACCCAGTGATGGATTAGCATGCCTTGATGGTGGTCTGAATGTATGCATTCTTCATTTAACCCCTCTCTCCGCCTTCCTATTTTACTTCATTACGATGTGTGCACAGCTTGGCACTGTGATTGTGGACGCAATGGCGGAAACCACACATACAGGCTTTACATACAGTTGCAAACCATCTGACAGAAGACCGCTTTGTTTTGATTTGGACAACAGTATGAGCGACATAAAGTTATGAAAGCCAACCCAACTAATATTAGTTAATTGCTTAGAAAAGAAACGAAAAACTCAGTAAAGGCCCGTATGCTGATTTACCACGTCCTAAAAAATCGTTA